GCCTGACGCTAAATGTTCCAAATGCAATCAGATCGGACATGAGGCCGTGATATGCAAGAATAAAAACCAGGTGCAGGAAGTTGATGCTCAAGTTGCTGACCAAGAGGATGAAGATCAACTTTTTGCGGCATCTTGCGTTGCAAGTAGTAGTTCGACTGAAAGTTGGTTAATTGACAGCGGCTGTACCAACCACATGACCAATGACAAGGAACTCTTCAGAGATTTGAAGCCAACTGACATTACTAAAGTCAGAATCGGCAATGGTGATTACATCTCTGTCAAAGGGAAAGGGACAATCGCCATAACTAGTACTGCAGGCACAAAAAGAATTTCTGCAGCACTGCAGGCACAAAGAGAATTTCTGATGTTCTCTACGTACCAGAAATTGACCAAAATTTGCTGAGTGTAGGTCAATTGATTGAAAAAGGCTTTAAAGTGATCTTTGAAGATAGTTTCTGTCACATTCTTGATGTCATGGGTCAGGAAATTCTCAAAGTGAGAATGAAGGGCAAAAGTTTTTCTTTTGATCCCATCAAAGAAAAACTTGCTGCTTTTTCCACCGAAGCCAGCAACACTAAGACATGGCACAAGAGACTTGGTCATTGTCACTTGCAAAGGATGCAGCTCATGAAGAACAAGGAACTCACAGTTGGCTTACCAACCTTTGGAGATCACTTACCAAATTGTCATGCTTGTCAATACGGTAAACAAAAATGGAGAGCATTCCCAAAGTCAACTTGGAGAGCCACTCATAAGTTGCAGCTAGTCCACATAGATGTATCCGGTCCTCAAAGAACCCTATCATTAGCAGGTAGTCGGTATTACATTGCTTTCATTGATGATTTTACAAGATTTTGCTGGATTTTTTTTCTTAAAATTCAAGTCAGAAGTGTCTGGAGTGTTTTGGAAGTTCAAGAAAATGGTGGAAAACCAAAGTGGCTGCAAAATTCAAGCTCTAAGGTCAGATAATGGAAAAGAATACACCTCAGAAGAATTTAACTTGTTTTGCGAGGAAGTGGGCATAGAACACCAACTCACTGCCCCCTACACGCCACAACAAAATGGAGTTAGTGAAAGGAGAAACAGATACATAATGGAGATGACCAGATGTATGCTTCATGACAAGGAGTTGCCAAAGAATTTTTGGGCTGAGGCGGCTAGTACTGCAGTTTTCTTGCAGAACAGATTGCCTACCAAGGCATTAAAGGATAAAACTCCATTTGAGGCATGGTATGGCTATAAACCTTCACTCAATTTCCTTAGAGTGTTCGGTTGTATGTGTTTCTCTCACGTTCCACAGGTCAAGCGTGATAAACTTGACAAGAAGTCAGATCCAGGCATCTTTGTCGGTTACAGTTCTTCCTCTAAGGCCTACAAGGTGTATCAACCTCAAACAGGGAAGATAATTGTTAGTAGAGACGTGTTCTTCAATGAAGATGAAAAGTGGAACTGGGAACAGACAAAAGAGACATCCACGAGCAAGCAGAAATCAAGTCTTCCCTTCCAACCAACAGAAGAGCAAGCATCAGAACAGTGGCAAGAAGACTTGGAAGATGATCCACCAATCCGTGGAACAAGACCCCTCTATGATATCTATCAGAGATGCAATGTGGCCATTTGTGAACCTGCGGGTTATGAAGAAGCCATTAAAGACCAGAAATGGAAGAAGGCAATGGAGGAGGAGTTGTCAATGATAAAAAAGAACAAGACTTGGGAGCTAGTTGATAGACCGAAGGATAGAAAAGTTATTGGAGTGAAATGGGTGGAAAGTGTTTCAATTAGATGTAAAATCTGCATTCTTGAATGGTATTTTGCAGGAGGAGATCTATGTTGAACAGCCCGAGGGATTCATGGAACAAGGTGAAGAGGAGAAGGTCTACTTGCTCAAGAAGGCTCTATATGGCTTGAAACAAGCACCTAGAGCATGGTATAGCAAGATAGATAAGCATCTGTCAAGCCTAGGATTCGAAAAAAGCATGTCAGAGGCTACTTAGCAGCCCCAAATGGGTGGAAAGTGTTTCAACTAGATGTAAAATCTGCATTCTTGAATGGTATTTTGCAGGAGGAGATCTATGTTGAACAGCCCGAGGGATTCATGGAACAAGGTGAAGATGAGAAGGTCTACTTGCTCAAGAAGGCTCTATATGGCTTGAAACAAGCACCTAGAGCATGGTATAGCAAGATAGATAAGCATCTGTCAAGCCTAGGATTCGAAAAAAGCATGTCAGAGGCTACTCTTTATGTGAAACGTAAAGGAGATGATCTGCTTATAGTCTCTCTTTATGTTGATGATCTCTTAATCACAGGTGGCAATGGCAAGCTTGTTGAAGAGTTCAAAAGGGAAATGATGCAGATCTTTGAAATGACAAACCTTGGACTAATGACATACTTTCTGGGAATGGAGATTAAGTAGTTGGAAGATGAAGTTTTCATCTGTCAAAAAAAGTATGCCAAGGAAATTCTCAAGAAGTTTCATATGGAGGATTGCAAGGCAATGGCTACCCCAATGAATCAAAAGGAGAGCTTGAGCAAAGAGGATGGGACTGACAAAGTTCAAGAAGGCTATTTCAGAAGCATGATTGGATGTCTAATGTACCTAACTGCAACCAGGCCATATATCCTTTTTGTTGTAAGCATTCTCTCTCGTTTCATGCATTGTGCTAGTGAAGTGCATCTTAAAGTAGCAAAAAGAGTTATTAGGTACATCAAAGGAACTATTGACTTTGGTGTAAAGTTCAAGAAGTGTCAAAACTTCAAGTTGTTGGGATTTTTTGACAGTGATTGGGGTGGATCCGTGGATGACATGAAGAGTACATCTGGGTACTGTTTCAGTCTAGGATCAGGGTTTTTCTCATGGTGTTCCAAGAAACAAGAGATTGTAGCACAGTCTACTGTAGAGGCCGAATTTGTTGCTGCTACAGCAGCAGTGAATCAAGCATTGTGGCTGAGGAAGTTGTTATGTGATTTACACTTGAAGCAACTGAATGAGACAGAGGTATTTGTGGACAATCAGGCAGCAATTGCAATCTCCCACAATCCAGTTTTTCATGGAAAAACTAAGCATTTCAAGATCAAATTTTTCTTTTTAAGAGAAGTGCAGAAGGAAGGAGAAGTGAGCCTCATTTATTGCAGATCTGAAAATCAGCTCGCAGACATTTTTACAAAGCCTTTGCCAGCAAACAAGTTCGAGCTTCTTAGGCAGAGACTTGGAGTTTGCAGCTCCTAATGCATGGAGGAGTGTTAGTTAGCTGCTTTTAGGACTGCAACTTGTCCACGTGTTAGATAATTGTTTTATGCTTCCTTAAATGCGTCGACATGTTCTTTATGTTTCCTTCAATATGTTCACGTGTCACGTATGCTTCCAATTTATTTGTTTTGAGTTGGTCCTAGTCTTTAGGAAGTAGTTAGTTGTTCTAGACGTGTTGCAGTTTATGGCTTGATTCTCGGTCACTGTTCAGTTTTTCTTTTTTTATATAATGTAAACTTGATGCATTATGAATGAAAAAGAATTCCCAGTTTGCATTCCCGTATATCTTCCTCTTGTTTTTCATCTTTAAAACTAACAGCCCTTTTTCCTAGAATAGACCAACCTGATAGGTGGCTTAGCAATAAATTCATCTATCTCGGCCGGACTTGATGATTCAGGCTTATCAAGGGTTGTAAATTGATCTGTCTCGGTCGGGCTTGATGATTCAGGCTCATCGAGGGTTGTAAATTCATCCGTCTCAGTCGAGCCTGATGATTTAGGCTTGTCAAGGGTTGCAGTTGACTTGTTTCTTGCCTTCTGTAAAAATGAAAATGCAAATGATACACTTACTCCATCGGTGTAATTATATTCACTATAGTGTTGAGGTACAAACCACATGTACAAATTATCTGAGACTGATCCAGTTGGCAATTCAAAGAGAACGTCGAAATGTCTGCCAACCCACCAGATTTTATTGTAGTTCTCCCCCTGGTTAGTTTTAAGATTTAACTCACAGACTAAATTCAACTTCTCAGCATCTTTGTAAGTGTCCCCAATAGCACACAGCACAAAACCCAAGAAGTTGTTATGGGGAAGCATGATCTCAATCCGACGTCCCTCTGATTGATGATTGAACCACTCTGGAATTTCATATCCAGGACAACACGTACGAACTTTAGGATTTTCTTCCTGTAACATAGAAAAAGAGAAGAGTCATTTATTTCACTTGCATAAATAATTAGTAGCTTTTCTGTTTCTAACCATAAAAGAAATAAGGCATACCTGATGTTCTAGGGATGCAAATCGGGTAGCCATGCACAAAACTCTACGCTGGAATTCAGTTATAATGTTGTCTAGTGCCTCTTGACCCAATTTCAAGCAATCATAGAATATTAAAGCATTTTTTGTAATAGGATAATTATTCTCAAGCTCTTGTGTGAGTGCTCTTCCTGATATTCTAGACTCAACGGAAGAGCCTGGATAGAACGAAGATCACGGCAATCATTTAAGAGAAGCCTTCTCAGCTTAGAAGCGTCTTTAATGCTTTCAGGGATTCTCTCTATATTAGAGCGCCCAACATTAATGATTTCCAAATCTACCCCGTGGAAAGTAAAACTTCTAAGTTGTGGACAGTTAAAAAGGCTGAGATCCGCAAGCTTAGGCATGTTAAAGATGATTTCTGGGTCAAACTCAAGATATTTACAAAAATCCGCTCTTAGTGTGCGAAGCCCAATTAGATTTCCAAATGACGAGGGGAGCTTTTCAATCGACGTATTGTCTATGCAAAGAAGCGTTAAGCTTTCCATTGGTTTGGAGATATCTGGAAGGTTCTTCAACTTTGTGCACCCAGTGAGATCGAGAGAATGAAGAAACCTCAACTCAAAAATGCGAGGTGGTAAACTTTCAAGACTTCTGCAATCGAATATGCTAAGCTCCTCAAGTTTAAGATCCTCGATCGATTGGAAGTCCAGTTCTTTTATTGTCATCCCCTCAATATGCAATTTCTAAGTAAAGACGTTTCAACGAGTTCGGGTTATTCAAACCACTGATGAAGTCCAGTTCTTAGATTTGAAAGTTGTTTGCAGTTATCAACTGATGAAGTCTCCTTTATTACAGTTGAACTTAAATCTAAAAACTCCAGGCTCCTAGATGTAATCACTGTTGGAAGAAGGTTAGGAGAGTCAAGAGTAAGAGTTCTCAGAGATGCCGCGTCCAATATTCTATCTGGAACTTTTCGGAGGCTGTCACAGCTTCTCAAATTGACCTCAATAAGGTTGTTAAGATTTTGCTGAATCTGTGAATAAGGAATTTCACGCCAAAATTCACAACACGCAAGATTTATCCTCTCAAGGTCTGGAGAAGCAGAAACATCTGGAATTCGAGTCAACTTACGACAGTAACTTAGATCAATGCCTCTTAACTTCTCAATGACCTGTAACATAAAGAAACGACAAGAATAAAGAGACTTTATAAATTTGGTTCAATAAAACAAATTGAAGGTATATACCTGGTCTCCATCCCAAAGTTGCTTAAGTTGACTATGTTTCATCTTCAGTTCAACAAGATTGCTCGGCTTAAAGGTTGGTGGTAAAGATTCCAAAGGATATTCATTCCACTTAAGATATCGAAGCGAATCGGGAAGATACTGTAGACCATGTTGAAGGTACATTCCTCGTTCATGTTCATGTTGAATGTACATTCTTCGTTGCTTGTAAAAGGAAATACCAACAATTTTGAGCAATCTCAAATTACACATCTTTTCAAAAATTGTAGGCTCCAAGTGTATGTCTCCATCAATTTCTGAATAATCTAGGAATAGTCCTTGAATATTTGCAGTCCCCTATCAAAAAAAGAAAAAGAAGAAATTAAATAGTATATATCAACATACAGATTACATGGAATAAATTAACACAAGTATAGATAGAAAGAACTTAATGATCATCATAAAATAAATACTAACAAGGTGTTACATATCAATGAAACATACATTGAAATTAACTATCAAACATCATTTTTTTTGTTGCATTTTTTGTCAATAGAAAGTTGACACAATTCTAAAATGATCTATATTTGAAAATATCGATACTTACTGCATTTTTCTTCAGGACTTCAATAATATCTTCAGTGATTCATAATCTGCTGCGTGGTCCTGGTTTTTCAGATTCTTGGCAAACAATGTCCCGACCTATATCTTGCACCAAGTCATGCATTCGAAGCTCGTTACCTTGAGGATCGATAGTTATGAGAGACTTATCAATGAGATTATCTATCCGTGTACTAGTAGAAAAATTGCACGCATTCAGAATATTTTCTACAAAATCTCTACGCTCCCCTTTGAAGAAACATGCAATATCAAGAAAGATACTTTTCTCATCCTTCTCCAGTCCCTCATCTCTTCAAGGTCATTTCCCACAACTTTAATAGCTAGCGGAATGCATCCAGCATAATACACTACCCGCTTGGATAGTTCGGCGTATTCTGATGTGGGAGGCTTTACTTCATCAAAAGCTGTAAAATTAAAAAGATCAAGAGCTTCACTATAATTCAATTGCTCAACCTCGTACTCAAATGTTTTGACCTTATAGCTATCTTTAATCGTCCTAAGGACCTTTTGATCTCTTATCTTTAGGAGAATCCTACTACTAGACGCAAAAAGGTCACCGTCACTGACTAAATGCTTTAACTGCTTTGGTTTACTTACATCATCCAAAACAATAAGAACCCTTGTACGCCTGAGCCTCCTTTTGGCCATTTCTATTGAAGATGGCATTTCCAAATCAATTGTGAAAGGTCTATTTTTGTCGCTGGTGTCACAAAGAGTGTTACAACACTTTACTGTAATATTGTTTTTAATAGAAAATCTGAAATTAAACCAGCAAAACAACAATGCAGGAAAATAATGCGAAAACGTAAAAGACACCAGAAAATGATATCGCAGTTCGGTGCGCACACTTACTCAACGGGGCCACTCCCAGACAGTGATCAATCCACTAAGTTCAAAAGATTACAAAGAACCGAATGGTCTTACACACTCAATGACTCCCTCCTTGACGATTTCGCCGTTGCCTAGAATTTCCTTAAAAAACTTGATCAGCGAGCACCACTCGACTTGACGGTTTCCTCCCGAAACGCAAGAAATCTTCTCCCAAAGAACTAACTCAAAAGTGTTCTAGCAATTCGTCGCAACACATCAAGCGACTCTTAACATTACAATATCATTCTGAGATGAACAAAAGCAATTTTTCTGATTTCAGCACTCTCTAAGCACAACACGTTCAGCCCCCCCTTTCTGCCATTACACCTTGATTCAAAACACCATTAAGTTTGAAGATCGTCAGCCATTAATTCCCCCAAAGTCCACTCTTGATTTTTAACAATTAAATCCTTTGATTTTCAGCCCTTAAACATGACAACCAGACTTTCCTTAAAGGGCTCACCAATTTATAGTGCCAGCCAAATTTATAACCAATTTGCAACCAATTTACCAAAAATAAGCCAATACAAAAATGCACTAACAAACTCCATCATATACTCTCTCGGATTCTTCCTTAACATTTTTGAGAAAGCAACAACTTTCAAAGTGAGAAAAGATTCGACCATATACTGCATTGGCAAGGGTTGTTTTGCCTATGCCACCCATTCCAAACAAGCTTATTATGCGAGTATTTGCTGACCCAATTCTTTATAGCGATTCAAGTTGTTCACAGCGTTTTTCCTTTCCAATCATGCCCTTCAAACCATCAGCACTTGACAAGACAGTACTTTGCAATTTTTTCAAAACGTCTTTAACAACTTCTTCAATTAACTTAGTGTCAGGCCTGTATTTAAGAAAGAAAGTTAACAGTTACTATAGGAAATAGCTTTTAAAATATATATAAAATATATATGTAATAGAGTTATCCAAGTTCTAATTCTTAAAACAATAGTATCAAATCTTAATTACATCGGTCTAACTTAGATTATAAATTACTTACCTTTTATTTTGGTATCTCTATATACGTAATAATATTGAACAAGTACCAGAACAATTCATTCACAAGATCCTTAGTAATAACTACTAGATTGAGTAAATTGATGCATGTAGTACAAATTAGTAGTAACTAGTTAAATTTTTTGTATGATTATATTTCCCTTTTAGTCGTCTCAATGATATATTCACATCTGCTTCTGCATATTTTAGCGTGACCAAACAATCATTAAATGATTTTATTTTATTTATGTTTTTCAAGCATTATGCAGTGAACTTCATACCTACAAATATAAACAATTTATTCCCATGCATTGAGTTTTGGAAAATTAGTTTTATTTTATATTTTTTATATTTTTATGCATTAAAAATAATTTTTTATAATATACATTTAAACCTTTTGATTTATCCAAGTTAGATTCTGAGTATTGTTTACTTATTTATTCCAAATTGGCATTTAAACAGCCTTATATTTTCATGAATTATAAATTCTATTTTTTATAAGAAGTTTTGCTATTTTTCTTTTTTTTTTTTTTTTTAACTTGAAGTGGGGGAATTTGGGCTCTATACCTCATGGTAGAGAATCCGAATATGAGATGGAATGGTTATGAGGAGGAAAATTTTTAATAAATACCCTAGTTTTCCACACTTTAAAAGTCTTATATAAACATGTTTTTTCATCAACCCTGTCCACTTTCTATGACAACCAAAACGAGTCGGCCAATTTTATAAATTAGTTGTATTTATTCAAATTTGCATCTTTATACATGAAAATGTAAATGTTACACATGCATAAGTTGAACTCAATCTATAAATTGAATTAGCATACTTTCTCAATCTATTTTCATACTGAGAAACAATTAGAGTTAATAATAAAAATTTCAAATAAATTTTAGAATTTTTACAGCGTGAGCTGTTCTTTTTTTCTACCGTTAGAAACTATTATTTTAGCTATTGAATTAATATTTTAATAGTCTAAATTGTAATTGGGAGCATTTTGTGTTGCATGCTATAAATATTTCACGTGGACACTTATAAATCAAAATGTTGAAAAATAATCTAGCAGCTAAAATAACAATCCCTTCTCATCGTGAAAAATGATAATTCCCACGGCCTGTTTGCATAAAATTTTTGTACTTACAAAAGCATGCAAGATAAACAACATTTTTTTTTTAGTAACAGGGAGATGGCTAATCCACGCCCCTAAAACTAGCCGTCATAGAAGAATTCGTTCAATCGCTAGCAAAATGACACTAAGCTTTCTGCAACACCAAAGTCAACAAATCAATTCTAAGAGTTTGAATTTAATTTTTTGGTTTTGGAATCTGAAAGGCTTTTTAATTTTAATGTCGAGTCATGAATACGAAATATGGGTTTCTAGTCCTATAAAATATTGTCTAATATTATTTCATTTGAGAAGAAGTGATTTGCGAATTGAGTTATTCTAAATAGAGTCTCTTTTATTTCATTGTTCTTAAAATTATTGAGAGAATAAAGAAGACTTTGATAACCTTACCTTATGATATTCTTGGGAGAATGTCCTTTTTTTTTTTTTTTTTCCTTTTAACCATTAGAGTGCAAGTTGTGGTCGTAAGCATGAAATGAACACTTGAAACTCATTTGTGTTGATTATGATAATAATCATCTGATATCAGTTATCCGCTCTCATCATTCAAAATGTATATATACATATATATTCATATAAAAATTCATTATCTCTCATCATTCAATATATATATATATATATATACATATATGAATTATTTTCACAAATGGTCCCTAAACTCTTTAATAAATGACAGTTTGATCCTTATTTTTTTTTCAAAATGACCCTCAATCTCTTTAAAATGTGACAGTTTGATATTTTCTGTCAAATTGTTAACAGAATTAATCATATGCAAGACATGTGATCTTTTTAAAGAAGCTATTTTGATAAAATTTGAAGCGTGTGATCTTATTAAAAATGATATTTTAATAAAATAACTTAGAGAGCGCGAGAGATGAGAGAGAAAGAGAGCTTGTCTTAGTATTTTACCAAAACATCATCTTTAATAAGATCACATGACTTACACATGATTAATTATGTTAAAAGTTTGACAAAATTTGACAAAAAAAGACCGAACTGTGGGGTCGTTTTGCTAAAAAAAAAATATTAAATATCAAAGTGTCACTTACTAAAGAATTTAAAGTCCAAGTCCATTCATGCAAATAACTCAAAAATATTCATAAAAAACCCATACACTGCTGAAAAAAATAAAAAACACTATACAATATTGATATGTAATCTGACCTGTAGAGGGTTACTTTAATTCGTTAATTAAAAAATATTTAATGATAAAAAAGACACTTTTCCCACAGACTTTATAATGAACGGAAGCGATGTCTTTCTAATTTTTCTAACAACTCAAAGTGTTCAAGTAAAATATTTCGGTCAATGGGTGTCTGTTTTATTAGGTTAGCTCTCTATAAATTTTAATTACGTTTACGCTTGCAATTTAATTTTAAACAAATAACTGGCAATTAAAAAAATGTGTCAAACTAAATAACAGTCATATTAATCTTAAGAGGTGAAGTATTTTAACATGTTTAATTATAGCAAAAAAAAAAAATGTATACTGAAGAATAGTTTCAATTGCTAGCAAAATGATAGATGTTACTCGGATATTGTTCTGCAACAATTCAACAAAGAGATTCATACGCTTCTAGAAAAAAGTTTGTGTGCATGTATTCCTTCATTACGTTTATGTAAATACTTTCTGTAGAAACATGAGTGAAAAAACAAATACCTTGTGACTCGTGAGTTCCATCCAGATAGATCAGCTGAGTATTTTAAAGCATCTCTCCATTTCTTAACCATTTCCATTTTGTCCTTTTTGTTCTTGAAACGTTTTGTATGCTTTATGAATGACTTTGCATAACTTCCTTTTTGTTTCCGTATATCAGATGGATTTACTCCATAAAAAATAGGTATGACCATCTGTTTATTGTCTCGGTGACATTCAAGTATATGTTCAAGCTCACGTAAACACCAGGTTGAAGAAGCGTAATCTTTTGAGAAAATGATTATCGCAATCTTTGACTTCTTAATTGCTTCAGGAAGTGCAAGATTGATGTCGTCTCCTTTCTCAAGGCTTTCCTCATCGATATAAGTCTTGATATGCTTTTGTGTCAATGCAGTATAAAGATGGTTTGTGAAGTTATCGCGCGTGTCTTCACCTCTAAAACTGATAAAGACGTCGTATTCCTCACAAATAGAAGAACGAGAAGAAGGAGAAACACCGTAACCATCCATGTCAACAAAGGGAATGAAAGCTCTCTTAGCGACTTGACGCCTTTGAGAAGCAAAGTTTGATAAAAGCAAGACTAAAGCTTGAGAAGAAGTTGCAGACCTTAAAATAAACTTGCTTGAGACTTCCTTGTGCGTTCTAGTACTTTTAGGAAGAAGACAAATAAGTTTATTGCCCCTGCCCCTGCCAGTTCACTTCCTGTCACATTAATTTGAGTTTTTAATTTGAATTAAGATATGATGTTGTGTGAATATTTTTTACTGTAACAAAAAAGTTAAATATGACTGTTTATGAGAACTTTTTACTGTAATAAAATTTAAATTCTAAACTCGAATCAGAAAAATAAACGGGATAAAAATAAACTTGCTTGAGAGACTTCCTTGTGCGTTCTAGGAAGAAGACAAATAAGTCAAACACGTCAAGTATACTGCCCATGCCAGTTCTTTTCCACTCACGTGTTTTCAATAGAATATAATTAAAATCTTAATTAAAAACGAATGGGCATATCATGTGACTATATGCCCTATTTAAATATGAAAAATTAGATATCCGATAATAATGACCTCTATTCAATCTTTTGTCGAGCGACGGAAGTAGAAATGTTTATAAGTGGAGATAATATATAATTAAAAAAAAATACTTATTATAGTGATACTTTCTGTATTTTATTAATAGTACAGCAGTCACATTCATTTAACTGAAACTAATCACAGAAGTATTTTCTGACCTAAACTCTGTTAAATTTGTTTTTAATATTAGCAATTGATCAATAAAAGTCAAATCCCAACCGTCCATTCAATCTTTTATTATCTGAGGAAAACCAAAAAAAAAAAAAAAAACGTAGATCACACTGCTCCATTACCAGACTCCCCCTCCCACACCCCCCCGCGCCTGTGTGCCCCACCCATCGCCGATGCCAGCCGCGCTGACGGCAACCCAGCCCCTGCGACGCCGTTCCTCAACCTCCATAGTAAAATGATGAGTTCTCATTCATTTCTCATACGTTGCATATCAGAAATTGTAAGGGCACCTTCATCTTACCTAGAAAATTGGGGCTTGGCTTTGGGGAGGATTTAGACCGGCGGAAGGGAAATTTAAGGGAAGAAGATGGAAAAAATTGCAGGAGCTCCACGACTAAGGCTGGTTTTTGTTTTTTGTTGTTCTTTTTAATAGATTCGAGCGAATAATTCTAAGCTTAAGATGAGATTGAAGAACACCTTCATATATGTTGCAGAGGGAGAAGAAGAATCGGTGGAATTACAACTAAAAAATTCACAGACTTGTTTCGTAGAAGAAAATGGGTTTCTGCAAGCTGTTTTTTTTTTTTTTTTTGGGTTGATTTGTCTTTTCTGTAGTTGAAAGTAGTTTGAAGTTTTTCGGGTTTGAAATTTTTAGTTTTTAATTTCTATTAATATGTGATAATTTTAATATGTTTTTAAATATAATAAAAAAATTAGATGTGATATTTTTTAAAAATTTTAAGTATAAGAATTTAGAAGTGAAAATTTGAATCCGTAACTTAAACAGTTTTTTTTTTTTTTTTTTTTTCCTATTTTTCTCCTGTGCTAGTTGATATTTGTGTAGTGTCTCTAAAGTTTATAGCAGTTCAGTTGTGTGTGCTCTTTTTTTTTTATTTTTTATTCATGTTAGGCGTTGTTGAAATGCTTATGTTTTGAAAAAAAAAAATCCAAACCGAAATAAACACAAGAAATGGGATAAATAAAGTCTTCTTTAAAGTTAGTTTCATAAGTGTGTAAAAAACAATTAAACGTGCTTTTCCATGTTACATAATGATAAGACCGATATTTTGAGCATTATATTAGCTTAGAATGGCAGGATGGCCAGGGGAAGAAACCGGATTATGTGAGGTAGGAGATGGAAAATGATCAGGGGCTGGGGATGGAAGAACAATATCAGGAAAATGGTAATAAAATGTTGATCAGCAGGGAGAGATGAAAAAAGGAACACATGTTCGTGAAAGACAACATCCCTGGAAATAAAAAAGCTTTTACTGTTTAAGTCAAAAAGTCTATACCCCTTTACACCATTTGAATAACCAAGGAAAACACATAGCCAAGCTTTTACTGTTTAGATCAAAAAGTCTATATCCCTTTACACCATTTGGATAACCAAGGAAAACACATAGCCAAGCTTTACTGTTTAGGTCAAAAAGTCTATACCCATTTACATCATTTGGATAACCAAGAAAAACACATAGCCTAGCACGTGAATCAAACTTTGTACGGTGAGCAAACAAAGTAGAAGCAAAAGCAAGACATCCAAAAACACGTAGTAAAGAGTAATCTACGGATTTGTTAAACAATAGCTCATATGGTGACTTACCATAAAGCAAAGGAGAATGAGTCATGTTGACAATAAAGGCTGCAGTCATCACACACTTGGCCCAAAAAGTAATTGGAACACTGGATTGAAAGAATAAAGCCCGAACCACATTGAGCAAATGTTGATGCTTGCGTTCCACAACTGAATTTTGTTGTGGAGTCTCTACATAAGAGAATTGATGTAAAACTCCTTTTGCATGAAATAGTTCTGTGAAAGCCAATTCCTTGGCATTATCCGACTGAAAACCTTTGATCTTGACACGAAATTGAGTCTCAACAAAGGTGAAAAACCTTGGTATAGCTGTAATCACATCGGACTTGTGCTTAAGTAGAAAAATCCAAGTAAACCTAGTGCAATCATCAACAATTGTCAAAAAATACCAATAACCAAGTGCACTAACATGATATGGACCCCATATATCACAGTGAATCAAGTCAAAAGGCAACGGAGACATGTTATTATGAGAAACAAAGGATAACCGCTTTTGTTTGGCTAGAGGACAAACATAACAAGGTTCATCATTATTACACCTGAAAACCTCACATTGTAATTGAGGAGCCAAAGTGCTCAATCATTTGAAAGACAAATGGCCAAGCCTACTATGCCAAGTATGGGCTGAGACCTTATTAACTTGAACTATGGAATTCGAAATTACAAAATTCTTATGACTCAAAGACTCGGGAAGAAAGTCTTGAGGTGAAGGCTCTCTATGCAACACATATAGCTCTTCAACTTTATCACCCTTGCCAATCATCTTCTGATTGTTGGAGTCCTGAATGATAAAGTGGTCATGAAAGAAGCTTACTACAAGGTGGGAATCAATTATAAGTGCACTGATAGAGAGTAAGTTGAAATGAAACTGAGGAACAAACAAGATATTCTTGAGAATCAAGTGAGAATTAATATGTACATCTCCAGACAAACTGACAGCAATTTGAGTATTATTGGGCAAGGTCACAGTAAAATCCTTTAGAGACCTCAAGAATAGAAATAAGTTGGCGTTTGAACAAATGTGCTTAGACGCACCAGAATCGACTATCCACTGATCTGGAAATGAAAAAGCAGTTTTCTTTGAGACAGAAGAACAAATACCTGTCAAGAATGAAGAAGAAGAGGCGTTTGTTGGAGTAACATCCTTCACAGAATCCTTCATAGAAGTAGCTAGATGGCTAGACAATGCTGTCATCAACTGTTGGTATTGATTATTGTTCAATGTCTTGAGAAAGCCTCCTATAGCTCCATCTTCCGGATTTAAACTGTTTTGAGAATGCGAGCCGATTTGAGAATCAAGTTGACTGGATGTGTGGTTGACAACAGCATTTTGAAACTTCGGCCTAGGCTTATAACCCGGTGGATACCCATGAATTTTGTAACACTTTTCAATAGTGTGTCCATGAAAATTACAATGAGTACAGAAAGGTCTCTCTTTCCTCTGTCCCCTATTATTTCCAAAATTTTGGAAATCAGAACTAGTAGAATTAGCCCGTTTGGATCCATCCTGTTTGACAACAAAGGCCAAGCTGGAAGTAGAAACCATTCCTAAGCTGTTGTGAGAAACTACACTGCGTTGGCGTTCTTCTTGAGAAAGAAGAGCAAAGACTTTGTTGATAGGAGGCAACGGATCAAGAAGGAGCAATTGTCCCCTAATCTGAGCAAAGCTGTCATTTAATCCCATAAGGAAGGACATAACATACTCTGCTTGAAAAAACTGATTTAATGCCTTGACACCTCCACAAGAACATTTTCCATAAGAACACAAAGGTCAGAAATTGTTCAATTCTTCCCATAACGCCTTCAATCTCGTGAAATATACGCCAACAGATTGTTGATTTTGAACATGATTCACTAATTCTTGGTGCAATTGAAAAATTCTAGGGCCATTACTTTGTTGAAATCGATCTTCAAGATCGATCCAGATTTTAAAGGCTGAATCAGAGAATAACACACTAACAGAAATTTCTTTGGAAACAGAATTAAGAATCCAAGAAATAACTATGTTGTTATTCCGAATCCAAGAGTTTAGAAAATTCACATCCGTACCGTCTGGGCGTAGAATGGAACCATCGATGAAACCGAGTTTATTCTTCACGGATAAAGCAATCATCATCGCGCGACTGCAAGATGTATAGTTGTCGCCAGTAAGCTGCTGTGAAACAAGTACAAGCCCTGGGCTGTCAGAATGATGAAGGAAGAACAGATTCAGAGGATCTTCAATGGCGGCTCTGCCAAGTTGCGAAGTAGTAGAACCAGAAGAGGGAAATGTCGAGGACTCCATGGAAACGCTTGTTTGAACAAGGAATCAAGAGAAAATGAAGAAAGAAACAAAGATCTCTTGTATGAAGAAAAATCAAGAACGATTGAATGAAGAATCAAGAGGATTTAGGTAGCGGAAAAAAAATTTTGCTCTAATATTATATAATATGGGAAAGGGAAAATGAATATTTCATTTTACTCAACCAATAATATTACACAACCTTAGCCTTTATATACAAAGTAAAATAATAAGCTTGCTGAGTAAGCTAAACAAACTAACAAACTTGCTAAGTAAGCTTAACAAACTAACTAGTCTAATTAACTAACTAGTCTAAAAATAGTACAGTCACATTCATTTAAGCCCCGTTCACTTCGCTGATTCGAGTTTAGAATTCGAGTTGAGATGTGATTTTATGTGAGAGCTTTTTACTGTAGCAAAAAAGTTTGATGTGATTGTTTATGAGAACTTTTTACAGTAAAAAAACTTAAATTTTAAACTCGAATCAACGAAGTGAACGGGACCTGAAACTAATTACAGAAGTATTTTCTAACCTAAACTCTGTTAAATTTGTTTTTAATATTAGCAATTGATCAATAAAAGTCAAATCCCAACCGTCCATTCAATCTTTTATTATCTGAGAAAAAAAAAAAACGTAGATCACACTGCTCCATTACCAGGCCCCCTCTCACAACCCCTCCCGCCCGTGTGACCCAACCATCGCCGACGCCAGCCACGCTGACGGCAACCCAGCCCCTGCGACGCCGTTCCTCAATCTCCATAGTAAAATGATGAGTTCTCATTCATTTCTCATACGTTGCATATCATAATTTGTAAGGGCACCTTCATCTTACCTAGAAAATTGGGGCTTGGCTTTGGGGAGGATTTAGACCGGCGGAAGGGAAATTTAAGGGAAGAAGATGGAAAAAATTGCAGGAGCTCCACGACTAAGGCTGGTTTTTGTTTTTTGTTGTTCTTTTTAATAGATTTGAGCGAATAATTCTAAGCTTAAGATGAGATTGAAGAACACCTTCATCTATGTTGCAGAGGGAGAAGAAGAATCGGTGGAAGAAAATGGGTTTCTGCAAGCAGTTTTTTTTTTTTTTTTGATTTGTCTTTTCTGTAGTTGAAAGTAACCATAATGTAATAGTTTGAAGTTTTTAGGGTTTGAAATTTTTAGTTTTTAATTTTTATTAATATGTGATAATTTTAATATTTTTTTAAATATAATAAAAAAGTTAGATGTTATGTTTTTTAAAAATATTTAAGTATAAGAATATAAAAGTGAAAATTTAAATCCGTAAAATTAATGAGGCTTAAAGAGTTTTTTTTTTTTGTTTTTTTGTTTTTTTGTTTTTGTGCTAGTTGATATTTGTGTAGTGTCTCTAAAGTTTATAGCAGTTTAGTTGTGTGTGCTCTTTTTTTTTTTTTTTTTTTTTTAATTCATGTTTAGGCGTTTGTTGAAATGCTTTTGTTTTGAAAAAAAAAAAAATTCCAAACCGAAATAAACACAAGAAATGGGATAATAACTTCTTTAAAGTTAGTTTCATAAGTGTGTAAAAAACAATTAAACGTGCTTTTCCATGTTACATAATGATAAGACCGATATTTTGAGCATTATATTAGCTTAGAAAACGTTTTCTGATACTGCCAGGGCATTTTTGACATTTTAAAATAAATTAATAGCTACCTTGGATGGTCAGTTCACGATCAAGTAACAAGTAACGGAGATAGTGTCTGCGTAATTTTTTATTTTATTTTATCGATTTGAGTTTAGAATTTAAGTTTTATTATAGTAAAAAAACTTTAAAAATAGTTATATATAATTTTTTTACTATAGTAAAAAACTCTTATATAAAGTCAAATCTCAACTCGAATCAACGAATTAAACTGACTCTAAGGTTTCATTCACTTCGTGGATTTGAGTTTTCAATTCGAGCTGATATGTGACATTTTGTGAGAACTTTTCACTGTAGTAAAAAAAGTTAGATGTGATATTTTCTGAGAGTTTTTTACTGTAGAAATCTAAAACTGAAAACTTGAATCGGTGAAATAAACGAGACCTAAAAGTATTAACGTGATTAGTTTTAGTCAAGAGCATGTAATTGTAATATTGATAAAATACAGAAAGTGTTAGTGTAACAAGCACTTAAAAATAATAAGCATAAAATTGTAGGATTAAAGTTTTATATTTAGTGGGGGCTATATTCATATTAATATAAGAAATTATATAATTCTATACATAATTTGAGTGTTAGTTGTTTGATTAAATTGTGATCTAATTTATGAGTGTTTATATTAAAAAAATGCACATCGTGAGACCAAAAAAGAATTGTTATTTATAAATTAGATTGTTGAAGTTTAATTAAAACGGCTAAAAATCTTGTTCTACCAACAGAGAAAAAAAAAAAACAAAAAGAAACGTGCCCCATCATAAAAGTTTTTCTAAAATATTACATCGACAGACGACACTCAAACTGTCATATTAATAAAAGCATATTAATATATAAATAATATAAATACACAAAGGTAACATAACTCGATTAAAGTTTTATAATACAAACAATGCGATACTAAGTGAGTTCTGTATCTAACCTACTAAAAACTTATTTGTTTTTGAAAGGGAAAATTTCTCAAAGAGCAAACTTTATTCTGCAATCACAGGTCATATAAAGAAATTAGCGGAGAAATTTAAAAAATATTTAGAAAAGATATTTGAAAAAAAAAGAAAAATATATTTGGTCATGCACAATATTAATACTTCGGATATAATTTAGTGTCTCAACGAACAATAATACCTTTTTTAATAAATAAGCATTCATTACTTCATATTGTAAATTTGTAAGCCTTATTTTGTTACAAAAAATTTATTTAGTGCATTTGGTAATAATGTTATGATTAATCTTTAAATCTGTTAATAAACTATACGTGTCAATTAAATTAAACTCGTCCATTTAGTTCGTTGATTCAAATTTTTAATTCGAATTAGATGTGACTTTATGTAAAAAAAATTTATTGTAGTAAAAAAATTAAATATAATTATTTTTTAAAATTTTTTACTGTAGTAAAACTCGAATAGATAAAATTAACCGAGTTTAAATTTGTTAATAATTGAAATATGCCCATAAAACTAATATCGTTATGATTAATTACTACACCATGAAATTCTTTTTAGGAGATAGATCACGAGATCGTCTATTAGATAACTTCCATCCTTTTTAATTATTATTTTAAAGGAGCTAATCCCCAATTCTTAGTGCGCTTAAATTTCTTTTTTATAAAAGAAGACAGAAATTTCGTGAATGATAAATGTTTTGTTCATTTTATCGATTTGAGTTTTTAATTTTAAATTTTTACAATAAAAAGTTCTTAAAAATATCACATATAATTTTTTTATTATAGTAAAAAAATTTTAAAAAATATTATATCTGAGATCAAATTAAAAACTCAAATTTATAAAGGAAATGAGGCCAAAAGAGACGCAAATATTCGGCCCCATGTGAATTGAGCCGACCAGAACCTGAAGACATTGCATAGACCATTATTTTAATGAATTAAGCCAACTTATAACTAAATTTATTACATAATTGAGAAAATTAATTATTTTAAAATAGAAATTAAATTAAATTAAATAGACTAAAACAAAATAAAATAAAATAAGTCTAAAATGAAAAATATTCATTACAATTCAAAATAAAAGAAAATAAATTAAAATAAATTAAAAATTTTAAAAATTAACAACTTTAAATACCTAAAAATAGTAAAATAATTCTATTTTTAATAGCACTATTAGGAAGACGATTAATTACAAGTCAAAGTCAAAGTTTATTAAGCACTTTTGCCATTATTATTTTCCACTGACGCGTCCCAAGCAAAAGAACAAAGGGTACTTGTATTGTCGTTATCATCAGGACCAACTAGGCATAATATGACTTTTCTTTCGCCAGTGTGGTTAATCATTGTTAGATATGACTTTTCTTTTGCCAGTATTGTTGTTATCAGCAGGACCTACTAGGCTAGGCATGATATGACTTTTGTTTTGCATTGTTATATGTAGCCGTATTGTCGTTATCATCAGGATCTACTAGGCTTGATATGACTTTTCTTTTGCCATTATTATATGATTTTTCTAAAGAATTATTTTATCGAAGAGTTAAACACCAATAATTGGATCGATGTGGAGGAATTTCTACTTGATGACATTTGGATTTATTATTTGCTTTTCCTCGCAACGACGAAGTCAATTCCATTGATTCTTTGGCCCCGGGCCTCGCCGGTGAACTCGGGGGGAGCTGCTAGCTTCAGTTCTTTACTCAGCCTCAATGGGAGTGGTTCAAGCCAAGCCCCCCCGAAATAGAAAGAAGCTCCGGCGGGCGGCCCCAGCTTCTGGCTCTCTTGATCAGGCCGTCGTATTTTGGGGAGGCGACTCCCGAAGCAGGGAGCCACTCCTAGACCAGCAGAATTTTAATTTTTTAATTTAAGTTAAAATATTATATTTTTTAAAAATTTTTAATTATAATAAAAAAATATTA